AAATCAAATTTTTAAAATCATTCCTGACCTCAACTGGAAAATTACTAATTTGTTATTTAAAACGTGGCGGGGTTGTTTTTATTAAATATCACATTTTTGCAAATTTCACAAAAGATCTAAATAATGTTCGTAGGCAATTAGTTAAATCTAAATGGGTCGTGATTGCAAACTTAAGAATAGAGTTGTGTATTATGGTCGCCAATCAAATATGAATTAACAATTGGACTGAAAAATACAGGGTGTTAAAAAAGTTACGCAAAATAAAGGTTAAATTTTTGTCATGGCAAGCTTAAAAAAGTAACTGTTAAAAAGCGTCAGTCGTGAAATGTTTAAATGGCAGTTCACCGTAATTTGATACTGTTAAAAGATGTTATTCGTTAAATGTTTTAAGTAGCATTCCATATTAAACTTATGTTAATTTAGCGTTACTTTTTTAACACCCTGTACACATTAAGCTAGAAGAAAGTGGGATGATGGCAGTCTCCGTACAATGGCCTCGGTCTTAAAGTACTTTCGGGCTGGCATATATATATCATGTTAGGAATAGGGGTAGATACCGATTGCCAAACGGGACCCTAGACCGCTAGTTCAAAGTGCCCTGGTTTTGGTTCATGGCAAAATTTTCAACCCGATTTATAATATTATGATTACGATATAGATCAGAATGTAATACGGCTCGAATAGTCACGTGCATGTGACTAATGTTTGATGCAAACAATATGCCTCAGGGATTCGACAACACGTAGGCGGGTGTTTGCCGCGAGAAAAAACGTTAGCTTTTGGGCAAAAATTTTGACGGGGAATTTTAGTGTAGCTAAACTTTTGCCGTAAAGGTTTCAAGTGGTGGTGGTAAAGCGTAAATGTGATTCGATGATATGCTTATGGCCAGGGTAGACGTAGATACTTTGATGTTGCATATGACAATAAATAAAAATTTGATCGCTGTAATCGTACAGAAGTACAGCTGGAGGATACGGTGAACCTTTTTTTAGAGGTATTGTGTCTTAATTGTATTTCCCGACTTTTATTTTTTTCCTCTTTCTTGATTCTCAGATCATATATGGAAATTTCAAGATCAATCTCTACCTTGTTGGTAAAATTTTTGAATGACTTAGTTTCTTTTTGTGATTATTGCTTTTTTATTTCAATATTCATTTTTGACTCAGTTTAAATCTCGGTGTCGCAGAATTAAGATGAACATTTCTGGTCCTTCGCCTCTTCCTGTCAATTGCAATGAAATTCGTTACTGTAATGCATAAAAAAAATTTTATGTTTCGAATTTGTGTTGTGATTTCTTGCACGACGAAATAAATGTATTGTCTATTGTCAAATGATTAATTACATTTTGTTGTGTGACTGTAACGCGAGATCTACCGTCATATACGGCCTAACCAAGTGCAGTATGACGCTCGGGATGGAAAATGCAGCGGCAGACCTCACTATATAGTACTAGATAGTAGACAATTTTTTTAAGTGACGTGATGCTAAATTAAAATAAAATATATGTTAGATTTGATCTCGCCCGCCTTGTATTGAATATTCACATTTCTTTATTTTGAATATTCACGTTCCATCAACATATTTTCAACATATACTTTCGCCTTACTATCTGTTCTTTGTAGCTTATTGTTAGCTAGTAATTTTTGATGTAGGGCGCGAGATTTGACAAATTTAAAAAAAGGGCGCGGCTCAGAAAGTTTGAGAACCACTGCTCTACTGTCTCTATGTTTAAGATTTGGGTAGATGTAACAACCTTGTCAAATGATTAAATGCATTTTGAAAAATCCTAAAGTTTATTAGTGTCTCTAATTCACTAAATACCAGTAATTATCAATAATTGAAGCTTAATCGAGCAACTCAATTTTCAGAAGTTTACATTGAACTGGTAGCCCTCGGCTTGATCTGTACCCAGAAAGTAGCCCTCGGCCTCGAAAAGGTTGGTGACCCCTGGAGTGTATACTGTGTTGTCTACTGTCTCTATGTTTAATATTTAGGTAGATGTACCAACTTTGTCAAATGCTTAAATACATTTTGCGGTGTGACTATATCGCAAGGTCTACCGCCATATGCGGCCTAACCAGGTGCAGTATGACGTTCGGAATGGGAAATGCAGCGGCATACCACACGATATACAGGGTGTTAAAAAGTACCGCAAAATTAACAGAACTTAAAATTAAATGCCAGTAAGAACATTAAACGGCGGATACCTTTTAGCAGTATTGAATAACGGCGAAATACCATTTGAAAATTTCACGACTGACGCTTTTTAACAGTTACTTTTTTAAAGTTGCCATGACGACTAATTTTACCTTAATTTTGCTTATTCTTTTTAACACCCTGTAGAACTAGTTAGAATACTAGATAGTGGCCTGAAATCGTCTATAAATAGTAATATTTTCGTTATTCTTGATTAAAGTCACATAATTGTAATTCTTACCCCTTACTATGGGAAAATCAAATTATAATATAATATAAAAAAAATTGTAATATTATCGTTATTTGTGTATGAACCGCATAATTGTAAATAATTCTAAAAGTATCCGGAACGGGCTGAACGGAATTTACTGGCGCTCATTGTATCGTCATGGATCGAAATAGTTTCAGTAACTCTTGAGCAGGACTGCTGGGATTGGAGAAAATTACAATCAATCAGTCAATCCCGAAAAAAAAAATTATTCTGAGCTCCGAGAAAATCGCATTTTGAAAGCAAAAACGTTACGTAGGCAAGCGCTCTTTTATAGGCGTTTAGGAGCCACCCTTAACGAAGATTTGATGTAACTCGGGTCTTCAAAGAGAGACTTGACTCAGTGATTGGCTCGACTCGCGACTTCAAGATTTAAAGACTTCACCCGACATCATTTCTGTCCATGTTAAATTGAAAGTCTCGCTTCAATACGCATATCAGCAAATTATCTTCCTTATACAGTCAAACACCGAGTTTTGTTTGAATTGTTGGCGCTCCAGAAGTATGTGTACCGATATGGAGGTAACTAATTTTGTTCGCCTGCTTTAAATTAAGTTGTGTGAAGGGACTGAAACCTATGTGCAGGGTGTATATTCACTTGACTAACACAGACATTCCCGAACTCGTAATAGAACTAAAATGAGGAAAATCGGAATAAAATTATGGCCTAACCCTAACCTGGTACACACACTACAGGAGTACCGCAAAAACGCCGAATCTAGTTTTATTTGAATTGTTTCCTGCTACGGTGACTCCCCACAATGCTACATACAACGTGAAATTTTGCTGATGCGAATTTAATAAAAGCATAGAACTATAGACATCCGATGTAGTGTGCATTTATATGATATTTCTATATGTTTCGGGAACTGAATGCTCGAGACAAGAGCTTTCCTTCGAAGTCTATATACAGGGTGTCCCAAAATTTCGCCAGACTTTATAGAATTATAGTATTATAGTTTATTACATTAACTATGAAGCTACCTACTGTTGTATGCTTGGTAGTCTTGGTTCTATTCATTTGTTGTCTTGTAGTTTTGTATGTCCAAAGGATCGCTTCGCAAATTTGTTGTTGTTAGGGATCTTTCGTACAAAGCCCCAAAATTTTTATTGTTCTTGTTAGGATGTGTGACATTTTAATAATTGTGAAAAGCAGTTTGAGAACCGCTACTAATCGAATTGAAATTTTAAGTATTCAAAATGAAAGAACGAATAACTATTACTTTTATTGTTTTATTAGGAATAGCGACTTCACCCACCCACACTACGTGGAATTAATCATATGTCGTATTTATTTATCAACTTGACAATTTCACCAAAAATGAAATATTTGTTCCGGTGTGACGTTTTCTTTTTCGTGTTCCTTTAAAAAAACTCGTTCTACCGACGGAGGCAATGAAGCGCGTTGCTTGTAAAACATGTATGTTGGTAAACACGATCACGCACTATCCAATTGTTGCCTTGTAGTTTTACTGATTTTGTATATTCAAAGTATCGCTTTTCAAAATTACTTTCATTTGTTTCAGGATGTGTGACATTATCATCGCTGTGTAAACCTCATGATCATGAACTAATAGACTAATGTTTTTAAATATTTAAAGTAAAAGAAGTCATTGAATGGGTATTACTTTTATTTATTTATTTCTCAAATTTTTTTTCGAGTCGTATGGTTCCCGATATTTCATCCCAATTTTTGCTGTTTTTGTATTTCTCGACCGCCTTAATTAATATTGCCTCTCCATCCGATACTTACCGTACCGTTACCGATATGCTACTTAAATTGCGATTAAAGTTTATAAGTATATATAATATATAGGTGTAAGTTTAATTCGACTCCATAATCAGCAAAATAATAAAATGATTGGTAAAAATAAATAAATAAAAACTGATTATGGAATCAGAAGAGCAAACAAAACCTTAGATAAGGTTTAAAACGTACAGAATATAAGATGGAAGGTTTTGCCAAGAAGAAGTGGTATGTGTTCACTCACCTAAAATAATTGAAATATTTCACACACGCTCACAAGCACCTAGAATGTTTACCTAAGATGAGCGATGAGCGATTGACTAAGATTTTTCTCAGAGCGGTGTTTTATTTTTCCGCATGCACGTCAGAAGAAGCAAAAGTCCTGCTACGAAGTGCGCTACCGTTGCTTCTTCGGCAAAAACAGTTCTGTCTCGTAATTTTTTGATACGACGCTTGTTCATGCATTTCATTCGTAACGTGATCGTGTATGCCCATCCACTATCTCCGACCATACGTGGGTAGCTAATATTTTTGGAATCTTCCCTGTTTGTCATCACCTATCAAATTAGTGCGATGCGACTTTTATGTTCCGTATGCACGGTACCATTATCGCATTGATTATGAAAGACGCAATATCTTTTGAAGCCGAAAAAACATCCCAGCCAGAGGTTAAAATGGGAAAAATAGTAATTACCTAGGTACGATTTAGGATGCAGATTGCAATGGTAATTCAATTTTTTAAATCATCACTAACCCTAATTGTATTATTTATATTATATTAGTCTCTGGTCAGGTTGTAAGTCTTAATATAAATAAGCGGGAAAATGCAGACACAGCAGAATTTACGTGGACGATGGGGATCTAAAGTTGAGTTTCTATTTGCATGCATTGGATATGCCGTTGGACTTGGAAACATATGGAGATTCCCGTATTTATGCTATACCAGTGGAGGAGGTAAGGCCATTTCTTTTTTGGTGCTCCTGAAATATATGCTCCAAGATGGCGCACAACCTGAACATAGGTTTGTACCAGGTTAGAGTCCATGTCGTCCGTCATCTTGGTACGAATACTTCTGAAGCGCCTCTTTTTTTATAGGATTGTGGAGTATTCGTATCCGCTGAGGAAATATTCGTACCAAGATGGCGCACAACCTGAACATAGTATTTTTACCAGGTTGGTGTTGTTCAGGTTGTGCATCATCTTGATACGAATACTTACGAAGGGCCTCGAAAAATTCCTATTCCAAAAAATTTGTATTCAATTCAAGAGTCTTGCTGCACACTAACACAAATATATTTCTGTAACGTTTTGTCTGACCGAGGTCAGGCTTCTTCAGACAAGCATTTTAAAACACGCAATTGCATGCACATAAATATTGGTTTCAAATGTTGGGTCTGTTTGCGATAGAGAGATATAAATAAAATTGGGACAGAGCCAGAACAATAGGAAAGCTAAATTTGATTTAAAATCAATAGATACCCCACAGTGTAGGGAGTGACAATTAAAAAGAAAATTAAACAATTTCATGCTGTTATCCCGAAACTCCGCGAAATAGAAATCAAGTGTAAGGGACAATGAAATGTAATGTTCAAATTAGCATAAATTGTGAATTTATCCATCTCTTAAATCCATCTCTAGAGGTTCTTATGTTTTGAATTTGTTAATAAAATAGGTTTCTTTAGTTTGCCCGTATACTTGGTCTCGTATACGTGATCTCGATACAGTTTTTCTATTCCAATTACAAAAAAGTCGTTGATGGAATGGCCTGATTGATTGAAATGTTTGCCAACTGCAAGGTCTTTGTTTTTTTGATTGATGCTTCTAATGTGTTTTGTAATTCTGTATTTTAAATGTCTGCCTGTTTCAAATTTGTTTTTAAAATATTTTTCTGGACACAACAAATAATCATAGGTTGATTTTTCTAATTTGGTCAGTTCTCACTAATAAGTACATTAAAATGTAAACAATAAGGTCCTTATTAACCACTCAGTTGTGTTATGAAGAGCACTCGATAACGTGAAAATGAATATTATGAAACGAACGATCAGTAATCAGTATTTTATATTTTCACCATCATGTAAATACACTTTGTGCAAACAATATAAAAAACGAACGTGAAAATGATATCTCAGGGTGAAGGGGTGCGCAAAAACCAATACTAGTTATCAAGCAGCGTAAGCACCCGTAATTAAACCTTAACAGTGATCAAGTTAAAGAAAAAAGTCAAACATCATTAAAATTTCTGGGGCTCCCGAAGTATGCGAACCAAGATGGCGGACATCGGAATGTAATATGTGTACTAGGTTAGGGTTAGGCCATAATTTTAGGTATAGTAAATACTACGGGAGGCTCTTGGCTAGTCTTCGAACTGATAATAGGACTAAAATAAGGAAAATTGGAAAAAAATTATCGCCTAATCCTAACCTGTTACCCATATTACGATGTCCGCCATCTTGGTTCGCATACTTCGGGAGCACCAAATTTTTTTTATAGAAACAATAAAATAACCAACCCATTACACACAAATGAACATTTGATATCAAGGCAGTAATGGGCTATGCTAATGGATATTGAATAAAATATATGCTTCATTCCGGGAGAGAAAAGTCAATAAGCTAACCTAATCATAATTCGTGCACTAAAGCCGGCCACATTTTTCAGGAACGGACTTCTTTGATCTTATGTAATTATGCCATCTTTTGGTTTGCCATCTGAGTTTCAGACTTTGCCTGTTCAGGTTTTATTTTATGCTTTATGTCCATTTTTTGATCGTTCATTAAAATCAGGAAATTACAAATTAAGATTTTCTCAAAACCTTGAATTATGACATAACCTCGTTTGGTTTCACTGTAATTACTTTGGTCTCTTCCTGATGTTCAGTCAAACTTTGTATCCAATTAATCAATTCAGGTACATAGAGGCATTTGACTTTGATCCTACCCCAAAGAAGAATTTTAAAAATGATGATGCTATTCTTTGTGATAAAATTTACATATTGGTCATAAATTATTTGCTGAATTTTTCAATGTATATGAAATGTTTTGTAATTCATTTACATACAATCATTTGATTTGGACAAAATATACAGAGTATCTTGAACAATAAACTGGTTACCTATTCCAATACAGTGCTATGTTCAGCTTCTTTTCCTCATTAAGTGTGCCTATCGGTATGGCCTTAGCTGCACACCAACTTTAATAAAAAGGTGATCCAAATGTCTTGACGGAATGAAGTATTCCTATCAAGCATGATATTCTGTTAAATTTTATTTTGCTGGAGGGCAAAATGCAAGATATCATCTATAGCATTTGTATATCAGATAAAGGGGTATCATGTTTCATAAACAAGTTATTATTTTATCATCAGGCAAACAATTTAAACAGTTAGAGAAAATCATTTTACGTTTTACAATGAGCCCTGTTGTAAATTACTAATGTGACAAATTCCTACTTTGCAGAATCAAATAGGTCTGTGAAAGTGTAACCCTCGATGGCCCTAACTAGTAGGGACCCAGTTTTGGTACAGATGACAATGATTACTGACAATTGAGATTGTGTAATATAAAATGAATTCGTCTTTGCACTTTATTAATGTGACTGGTCACCAGATGAGAGGCCATAGTTTTACATACGATTAAAACCTTTTATCACCTTCTCACCCTGGGATGTCTACTATGAGCTTTCAACTCTCCTCTGTCTCTCAGAATAAATCCTTCAAACTAAATTTCCTCATGCTTAAATGGGGCTGGTAACTGAGCCACAGGTCATAGTTCACCACTTGGTTGGGTCATCCTATCAGCCTTTCTCTCTCTGGGACAAATATTACATTCGCAATATACCTACCACTAGAGGTTACGCGGGACTAACTTTGAATTTGCATAATATCATCCGCCATAAACTGTAATAAAAACTTTCCTTTCCCTGAAGTCATGTGAAAATCCTTCAGCGAAATTTCCCCATCCCTGAATAAGGCTGGTAACTAAACAAGAGGCCATGGTCAACCATATATGATAAAGCCATCTTATTACATTTTCCCCCCCTTTTTTTTATACAACAATTTTTCACACCATTTTCTCTCATCATGGCCCTTTTGTAAAGCCAGCAGACTTTCTATTCCATCTTTTTCTCCTATTTTTGATCACACCCTGGGTGAGGAAGATGGCATTAAATTTGAACCGAGATAAAAACAGTTGAGTCCAACGTTTTAATTACTGGGCCATCATCTAATCTGGGATGAATATTACATCTTACCCACTAAATAAGATAAAACTGCTTTTCCCCAAAATAAACACAAAAATTAATTATCCATTTTCAATTTCACAGGTGCTTTTCTCTTCCCATATTTTATCATGCTGATACTGTGTGGAATTCCACTTCTCTACATGGAGATGGCTGTTGGACAGTTAACACGAAGAGGACCTGTTCATGCTATTGCTAAACTATGCCCTATACTGAAAGGTAAGATTAGATTTATAAAGTGAAACAATGTATTAGAGATGTATACAAGGTTAGAAGTGCCCCTTTGATGTATGCAGTGATTTATTTCCTAAAATCTGGCAACAAGTTATACAGTCACAACATATGACCCTGCAGATGTATACTGTTCGTTCTTTAACGCATGATTTTTTGATTTGAAAGTCATCCGTTTCCCAGCGATGAGACATAGTTAGGTTTCTGGAATGACCATTTTGAATACTTATTGTTACTAACTTGCACCCAGTGGTGTATCTATCCTGTGGCAGCCAGGGCTCGTGCCATGGGCACGTTTGGACAGGTGTGCAAGAAGAGCGAAAAGTTTTATTCGTAAAATATTTCAATAAAATTTTTCAAACTCAAAATGATTGAAAGTACTATTTTTACTCAATAACGTAAAAGGATCTCATTTCTACCACCATTGTTTAAAAAAATTGCCAACTAACGATCAAGGAGGGAAGAAAACAAATCACAACAAACATAAACATGAATGGTTAGTCATTATTCAGGAGGCGAACTTTATAATATAATTACGCCTCTACTTGTACCGGTAACCAGACGCTACCGTGCTTTTTATCTCCTTTTGATAACAATAAAAACCTTATCTATTTCCGCCACAGGTACAGGAATTGCAATGGTGATGCTGAGTTTTCTGCTCTGTACTTACTACAATGTGATCATTGCTTGGTCTCTGCATTATTTCTTTCATTCATTTTTCAACCCATTACCATGGACTGGTTGCAATAATACGTGGAACACAATTTTCTGCTTAACAGGTACAATTTTAGTTGGTGCTCCCGTAGTTTGTGTATCAGGTTTGGGTTAGGCCATAATTTTATTCCCATTTTCCTTATTTTGGTTCTATTACGAGTTCGGGACTGTCTGTGTTAGCCAAGTGAATATACCCCCTGCCCATAGCGTTCAGTCTCTTCACACAACTTGATGTAAAGTAGGCAAACAAAATTAGTTACCTCCATATTGGTACACATACTTCTCGAGCACCAAAACTTTAATACATTAGCAAGCCTTTCCATTTCTGTTGAAGTTAAATCGAACTTTTATTTTTGCTTCAGGAGATGAGGTGCAAAATTTTACATCAACAATATCAAATGGTGACAGAAATTTGACCGACTCAGAATTAGATTATTATAATCCTGAATATCTTGTGAAGCACACGTCACCATCCTACGAATATTTCAAGTGAGTATAACATTTTATTCTCCATATTAATAGATTCCGCTGCTAGTCCGTTTCAGGTGTTTGGGACAATTAACAGATTGGCTATCATCAATTTATAAATTCAACGCTGAACGTCGGTGTGGCGAATTGTGCTAACCATTAGGAATATGATCGCCACCGCATCTTTGATTACCCTGCGTGTGTTCGCAGTTTCGAATCCTGCAGGGGTTACGGTAATTATGTGCGAGAAGATTGCTGGACTTGCCGCTGTAGGGTGGTTTACGTACCATCACTGCTTTATAGCGGCCCCAATGAGCATATATACAATGAGTGGAAACTTGCAAAGATTTGCTCATTGTGGCATTGTTCCCTGCATTTTTTACGTCGTCCAGCTAAATGGTTCGCTGCATATTAAGAAAACGCATTGCTCGCTGCCAAAATCCCTTGCTTCAGCCGAGTCGGGTGCGAAATTGGCCGTGTTGAGGTCTTTAATTCTTCAATACATATTTGGTTTTGGGTTTCGAAGTATGGTACGCTGGAAGCATACAACTATGAGCATATGCTTATTGGGAATGCATATTTATTAGACAGAAAACGTATTTACAGAACAGAATATAAACCAGTCGCCGAGAGGGGTGCGGTTATTTATGTATTTATTAATTGATATAACATGGGATTTACATATTTATCCAAGGGGAGAGGAAAGCCGAAAAGAAGGCCTAAATATATGGCGAACCATGGCCTCTCTCAATCATAGCTCTGTGCTCCATATGAATCACATGGCTCTGCGAGCTATTCGTTTACTTGTTAAAAATACTGATTTTAACTATAAATTACTCTGGGATATCTTGCCATTGAAAACAAAAGCCAGAAATTGGAAGAAAAGCAGGGAATGAAATGTGTGTATTATGTAATGGAGAACCTGAGTTTGTTTCACATATTTTCATGTATTGTAAATTCACAAAAAATATTTATGAAGATTTTGTTTTAGATATATTAAAATTGATTAGAATACATTTTGTTATCAATATAATTCTTGCATATTATTTAATTTTAACGATCCTTTAAATAGTCATATAGATACTGTTGATTTGGATGCAATTATACTTTTGTAATCGATAGTGAGATATAAAATTTTGACCATGAGAAATTCTATTATATTCGAAAATAAAACACCACATTTTGCCTTTCTCAAAAAGCAGATAAAAATGGCCATAATATGTAGAAAAATATAGAGAATTATAGAATAAACAACCCATTTGAGAGGGAATTGAAAAATTTATGTAAAGCATTATTTTAAAAAGAAAATTATATGTTTATGATATGTATTTTATATTTACTAATTTTATTTTTATTGTTTTATATCAATGCATTTATTAAAATAACCTAATTATGATATGGATTACTACTGGAATTGAACAAAATAAATACTGGATCATGGATGCAAAATGGAATTTGAACTTATTTATATTATATATATTATTTTATATTTACCGTAATTAAAATCACTCATTGAGTGAACGAATGAGCATACGGTAATGCTTATTGGGAATACATACCATCTATTAGGCAGAAAACTTATCTACAGAACAGAATATGAACCAGCCAAGTGGGGACCTAGGATATTGTATTCATTGATATAGATAGAGATAGTTTATTTTGAAAAGTCCATAATCTGACAATACAAACAAATAAAAAATGGAGAGTTCTGGAGAGCGAGCAAAACCTTTAAAAAAGTTCAAAACACGATGAGTATCATGTGCCTGCTGTGTTATAGCAAGTAGTAATGTGTAATGAATTTAATTCACTGTGGTAAATCAATTGCTATCTTTTTATTTGTTATGAGCACACTTGCTGGAACTCCATAATCTATTATTTTATTTTTTAGTAACACTTTTTATAAAAATATCAAATTGTTTATCATACTTGCATCCATATTTCGCCCCAAATTCAATGACACTTTCTCTGTATCCAAATATCTATGTACATGACCACATTATTTATTTTTTAGTAATACTTCATTTAAAAGTATCATAATGTTTATTATAATTGCTATTCTAGTATTTTATCAGTTTTTTGCCTTAAATTTCATTCTATGATACTTGCTCTGTATCCAAATATCTATATGTATATGAGCCCTTTTTTTTTAGTACCGGTAATACTTATTTAAAAATAACCTATTGGGTATCATTGCTATTTCAGTATATTATCAATATTTCGCCTTAAAATTCATTCTATGTTACGTGCTCTGTAGCCGAATATAGATATGTACATGAGCACTTTATTTCATATATTTATCTGCTGGAGAAGGGCCAAATCCTGATCATGTATTATTGTGTGTTACTATCCTCCAAATCACTTGCCAGTCATAATCAAGTATTATAATTTGATGTGTTCAAATTATAGTGTATAAAGAAATCTACTCATGATTTCATTACTATTATCAAATGTTTATAATTAAAGTGCTATAATAATAGAATTTTCCCCATCTTTGCTTATAAAAAATCCATGTCCTATTACATTCATTTTTAGTAGACAAATTTTCCAAATAATAGGTATTTGATGCAGTTTATGCAGTTGATATGCAATACATGTCAACTTATCAGCTGAATAAATGATGATCTTAGGACAAAACATGATTATTTAGTACTTTCCAAATCAAAAATTCTTGTGAATAATGTATATAGTGAATAAGGTATATGAGAGGTATTGAAGAATTTAACACCGAACCTGTTAAATGACCCGTAATGTTGTAACGTTGTCTCCCAGTTAAACACCTGAGCATCTGTTTTTTTTTTATTATAATTTATATATGTTCATGGTTTGACGAACGAAATAAACTCTTGGCTTGAACTAAACTTGAAATGAAACTTGAAATAAAACTTGGCTAATTTTATGCATATCAAAACTTGTCATTTATTTTTTTCCACATGTTTTTCCAATAAAACATACTTACGCCTTACTACTGTTATTTGTAGCTTATTATTGTTAGCTAATTATTTTTGAGGTGGGGCGCAAGACTTCACAATTCTAAAAAGGGGGTGTGGTGCGGCTTGAAAAGTTTGGGAATGTTTGTATGTAGTATACCCTAACCTGGTACACATGGTTCCGGTGTCTACCAACTGGGTTTACATGGTTCCGTTACATTTGAACCCACGTACATTTGAACCCATGACAATTGCACCAGCATGCTATTGCACATATGGAATTTTTTTTGTTTTACGGGTAGTTAAACCCATACTAACCCTAACCCATGGGATTTAGCACCCGCATATAGGTTGAACCCGCGGATATACACATGGGTTCAAATGTACTTGGGTTCAAATGTACGGTCACCGGGTTTACATACCGGTACTTCAAGAGTACCTTTTTGTATTACAGTTGTGAAACAGAAAAAGCTGAATGTCGGTCTTATTCCATCTGTAAAGTTACCAAAAACTCCACAAAGAATGAACAATGTGTATTATCGATGAAATGAAAAGTGACATATAAAAAATACAGAAGCTGTAGAAAATATTTTGCATTACAGAAAAATTAGTTCACATATTAAATATTTTACATTACAAAAATAGTGCTCCAGAAGTATGTGTACCAATATGAAGGTAACTAATTTTGTTCGCCTATTTTATATCAAGTTGTGTAAATGGACTAAATTCTATCGGTAGGGGGATATTCACTTGTGTTACACAGACAATTCCCGAACTTTTAATAGAACAAAACTAAGGAGAATCGTAACCTAACCTGGTACACATACTACGAGTACCGAAAAAACAGCCCACATAGTAAAAGCAGTTATGGAAATACTTTACACTACAGAAAAATTAATTCACATAGTAAATAGCAGACGAAGGAAATATTTTGCATTGCAGAAAAAATAGCTCACATAGTTAATAGCAGCAGAAATATTTCTCACTTATGATTACAAAAGTATAATTGCATCCGAATCAACAGTATCTATACGACTATATAAAGGATCGTTAAAATTAAATAATATGCAAGAATCATATTGATAACAAAATGTATTCTGATCAATTTTAATATATCTAAAACAAAATCTTCATAAATATTTTTTGTAAATTTACAATACATGAAAATATGTGAAACAAACTCAGGTTCTCCATTACATAATACACACATTTCATTCCCTGCTTTTCTTCCAATTTCTGGCTTTTGTTTTCAATGGCAAGATATCCCAGAGTAATTTATAGTTAAAATCAGTATTTTTAATAAGTAAACGAATAGCTCGCAGAGCCATGTGATTCATATGGAGCACAGAGCTATGATTGAGAGAGGCCGTGGTTCGCCATATATTTAGGCCTTCTTTTCGGCTTTCCTCTCCCCTTGGATAAATATGTAAATCCCATGTTATATCAATTAATAAATACATAAATAACCGCACTCCTCACGGCGACTGGTTCATATTCTGTTCTGTAGATACGTTTTCTGTCTAATAGATACGCATTCCCAATAAGCATATGCTCATAGTTGTATGCTTTCAGCGTACCATACTTCGAAACCCAAAATCAAATATGTATTTAAGAATTAAAGACCTCAAGTCAAGTTAATACGGCCAATTTCGCACCCGACTCGGCTGAAGCAAGGGATTTTGGCAGCGAGCAATGCGTTTTCTTAATATGCAACGAACCATTTAGCTGGACGACGTAAAAATGCAGGGAACAATGCCACAATGAGCAAATCTTTGCAAGTTTCCACTCATTGTATATATGCTCATTGAGCGGCCCCCTTGACACTAAAATTTTCTTTCCTTTTTTAATTATGTTTGTACAATGTGCACTTTCGTCATGTGAAAAAATTAAACTTCTGACTGACTGAATCAACAATTTTCCAGTTATAATGTCTTGGGAATTTCCAATGGCATCGAAGACATGGGACATATGCAAGGAGGTCTAGTCGGATTTCTGTTCTTAGCCTGGGCCATCTGTTACTTCTGCCTGTGTAAGGGAGTAAGAATTGCTGGAAAGGTGGGTGTATTATTGAAACTAAGTAGGGGGCTCCCGAAGTATGCGAACCAAGATGGCGGACATCGGAATGTAATATGTGTACTAGGTTAGGGTTAGGCCATAATTTTAGGTATAAATACTACGGGAGACTCTTGGCTAGTCTTTGAACTGATAATAGGACTAAAATAGGGAAAATTGTAAAAAAAATTATCGCCTAACCCTAACCTGTTACCCATGTTACATTCCGATGTCCGCCATCTTGGTTCGCATACTCCGGGAGCACCCTAAGTAGTGCAGTTTGAAAGTTCAGGGGTCGCATGGGTAGTCACAGTAAATTGGTAAATGGGTTAGGTCATAATTTCAGGTACAAATACTTCGAGTGTCACTTGGCTAGTCCTCGAACTCGTAATAGAATTAGAATAAGGAAAATTGGAATAAAATTATTGTCTAATCTTAACCTGGTACACGCACTACCTTCCGGTGTCCGCCATTTAGGTTCACATACTTCAGGATTACCAATTTTTTATTGAAAAATATTAAAAAAAAAATTCTGCTTAACAGGTGGTTCTTTTCACTGCTACATTTCCATATGTCATCCTGTTTGTTCTCCTCATAAGAAGCGTAACATTGCCAGGCGCCGAGAATGGAATACGATATTTTATGATACCACACTGGCCTGATCTGGGAAATCCTAGGGTAAGTCAGTTAATTGAGAATAGGATTTCATATTTAATTAATATAAATTTCATAATAATTATCGAACCTGCAAACAGGGTAATCAGGGTAATGGAACAGGGTAATCAGAGTGCGGTGACAAGCGTATTCCTAACTCTCAGCATGATGCGCCACATCTCCGAGCATGTCATAATTATTGCTAATGAAGTCAAATTTTGCTTCAAATACGTCATAAGTATGGGGAGCATTTTATAAGTTTGAAAAGTTTACAATCTCTTACTTAATCATATGTTTGAAGAAAATTTGCTCACAGCAAGCCCACATTCACTCGCTCAGAAATAACGAAGGTTGATATCTGAGCAAAGATTTGGATGACAACTAAAATGATCGAATATTAAAAATTACTTCCCTGATTCAACTTCAATTTTTTTTTTCTGTTATAGATATGGCTACTTGCTGCAGCACAGGTCTTTAACTCCATTGGAATAGGATTTGGTTCCTTAATTGCATTTTCAAGTTACAATCGAAGAGATAATAATATTTTACACGATACTCTTATTATTGCCATCGTCAACAGTTTGACTTCGTTACTCGCAGGTAGAAGTTCTTGCGTTTTTCGATAAATTCAATTTTTTGGGTTTATCTAATCTTTAACAGTAATCTGTAATTTATTTTTCCACTATTTGTTCAAACTATATAAAGAAAAAAACATCAAACATGTGTGAAGGGATCTATATTCCAGTCAAGGTGTGACAGCCATGGCTCATTCCATGGGTGCCGTTAGGACAGGGGCGCAAAAAGGCAAAAAGTTGGGGCTCCCGAAGTATGCGAACCAAGATGGCGGATATCGGAATGTAATATGTGTACTAGGTTAGGGTTAGGCCATAATTTTAGGTATAAATACTACGGGAGGCTCTTTGCTAGTCTTCGAACTGATAATAGGACTAAAATAAGGAAAATTGGAAAAAAATTATCGCCTAACCCTAACCTGTTACCCATGTTACGTTCCGATGTCAGCATCTTGGTTTTCATACTTCGGGAGCACCGAAAAGTTTTTATCGTTTAATGTTTCAATAAAATAATTTTGAATTGGTAATAGCTGAAACTCGTAGTTTTACTCAAATAATAACGTACAATTAATTCATTCCCATGACAGTTAATGACATTAAAAATTGTGAACTAACTATCAAGGGGGGGGGTCATTTTTAAATTTTGCCATGGGCGCAATTTTAGGTAGATACGCAACTGAATCCAGCCTGTCAGCCATTTATTGTGGCCCTTGTCAGCAGTTGTCAGCCCTTGTCAACAGATTTTGGACCTCCTGAAGTATGCGCACAACCTGAACTCAGGTTGTGTACCAGGTTAGGGTTCATATTATGCGACATCTTGGTGCACATACTTCAGGAGCACCCAGATTTTTCCCCACCGTGCATAAACTCCTAATCCAACAGTTTATGTTTCAAAAGACGCTCACATGGGTATAGATACCTAATGTTTTTTTCATTGCTTTTGTTTTGCCCAGTGTCTTTATTACTGTAATGCTAAGCGATAGCCGTATTCCGCATTTTTGTGGGGCTCAGGTCGATGTCTGAAGTAGAGATGTAACGATGTATCGGTATCGGCAATATCGGCCATTTTTTGGGTATCGGTTATGTATCGGTATTGATTTATTGCGGCGACGATTATGATCAACCACAAAATAAAATATTTATAAAATGTTTTTTAATTTGAACGTAGGACGACGGCGCTACAATGTGTGGGCGATATTCGATATTCTTTTAAACACGAATAACGATATTCAAAGGTCGCGATATTAACATTAACTTCGAATTGGAAATCACGGCTTATGAGTTTTCTAATTGAATACATACCGGTAATTGAAAACATAGTATCGGTATCGGAATATCGGTAATAACGGCATTTTTGTAGTATCGACGTATCGGTATCAACGTTTTTAGCTGGTATCGGCGAAAAAAGTGGTATCGGTACACCTCTAGTCTGAAGTTGGTTATATGGCCCACCAACAAAAAAGTGGTACTCCTATAGTGTGTGTACCAGGTTAGCGTTAGGTCATAATTTATTGCCATTTTTCTTATTTTAGTTCTTTTAGAGTTTGGGGACTGTCTGTGTTAATCAAGTGAATATATCACCTGCTATAGGTTCCCGTTCCTTTATACAACTTGATGTGAAGTAGGCGAACAAAATTAGTTACCTCCATATTGGTACACATACTTCTGGAGCGCCGAGTATGTCGCACATCTCTGGTCTAGATTTAAATGATGTTTTCTTTTTAGGTTTTGTTGTTTTTTCTGCTCTTGGAGGAATGGCTGAGATGATGGGGGTAGGAATACATGAAGTTGTTTCAGGTGGACAAGAACTTGTGTTTGTTGTTATTCCAACATTGTTCTCTCTTCTACCATTATCAAATTTGTGGGCTGTTCTTTTCTTTTTGATGTTGATTTGTCTTGGAATTGATAGTCAGGTATAGTTGTGATTTTTTTTTTGTTCAGTCTGGGGTGAGGAAAGCTAGTTAGATCGCTTAGTCATCATATTTACAACATTAGTGGAGGTGGAAATTCACAAAAAGAAATATTTTGTATCACAAAATATTGCTGTCACAATAAAAAACTGTGAATTCATAATACCTTTGAACAACCTCACCACCTTGGCCCAAAGTGCATTACTATATGCAGGAATCAGATCAGTCGATCAGGAATTAAAAAAAATTAAAAACTGTTATTTAAAACATTTTTTAGTTTGCAATGGTAGAAGTCATCAACACAAGCATTATGGATGAACTTAATAGAAGATTCAAAAACTCTCGATTCGTCAGAAAAGAGATCGTAGCTTTGATCGTCTGTCTTGTTTGTTTCTTGCTTGGACTTCCAAATGTTGCTCAGGTAACAATAATTTATTTTATAAAATTTAGTTTTACTCAACATGAGCATGTTAGTACTAATTGTACCACTTAAACAAACTTTGATGGGTAGCTGGCTGACGGTTTCGTATAGCTGACGGCGAGTCTTGCAATCTTTTTACACATAACTAACATGGCGCACTCATGGTTGAAAATTTTTATAAAAAAATTATACGTCATGTTTCTATGTTAGAATTTTGTGTTGTGCAATATCAGCAAAACTTCACCCAAGTTTGAAATGTCCGTAACGCAGCTATGGAATAACTACTCTTCCATTTGTTATTCAATGAACTGTGATTGCCGTGGTTACTTCGCCTGTTGTGTCCGGAGTACTTTTCTTCCATTGGCAAGAGTGACACCGGGATACAGGGTCGACTAAATGTATCCCAAAGTCTGGCTTTTGTTAGTATTCTATGTTCGAATTTTTCTTCAGTTTAATTTAATGTTAGACTCCCTCATAGTTGACAGTGACACTGCTCGATAACCATCACTGGCTTATCGCGTCTACCTTCTCACTCAAATGTATTTTTTTATTTTTTTTAGTTATGTTTGTAAAATATGTACTTTCGGTATGTGAAAAAATTAATACTGATCTGACTGATATCATATAAAGAAGGGTACCAGATATGTGAATGAATTGCGTTGAAAGCAAACTTTGGTGGGAAATATTGGGTTCCGTGGAACTCTGAAAAAAATTATAACAAATACAAGTAACAGTTTTCTAGCAACACTTTCGGTACTCCCATAGTGTGCGTACCAGGTTAGGGTTAGACCATAATTTTATTCCAATTTTCCTTATTTTGGTTCTATTACGAGCTCGAGGACTGTCTGTGTTAGCTAAGTGAATATACCCCTTGCTCATACGTTTCAGTACCTTGCTCTTCTGGGGCGCCACTCTTTTATTTGAAGATTGAAAGGGTGCGAGAGGATTGCTGGACTTTTCGCCGCCGCAGTGTGGTTCACGTAACTGCTGGTCATCGAGGTCAGTTATGGTTTCCTCCACCATTAAGTCCATGCTTCCGAAAACAACTGGCTAACCGGACGAAAGACCGTGGTTCGCCATATGATTAAGTCGTCTTATCGACTTTCCTCACCCCATGAATCAATCTGTAAATCCTATTGCATCATACTTTCATGACTTTTCCACTGATGGTTATTTTTTTTTACAGGGTGGCATGTATTTCTTCATATTAATGGACCACTACAGTGCAGTTGTGTCGTTAATGTACGTTGCTTCGTTTGAAGTTATGGCCATTTGCTGGTGCTATGGAGCAAGCAGACTTGCAAAAGAAATCAGCTTTTTATCAAAATGGCGACCTCCATATTTCTTTCCATTTTGCTGGCTTTTCATTTCACCTGCATTACTCACGGTAATTATTTATTGAATTTTAAAAGATGTTAGAATTGATGGATATTCTGGTTCTGTATATATCGTCATTTGAATGACCTTTTCTGTAGGATATTGGATATTGTATAGGATGTATATAGATAACAGGTTGGTCCAAACCCAGGCCCGCGGGGCACATATGGCCCGTCCCTCCATTATCTGTGGCCCGCGCAGCATTCGGAGAGTAATCAAAACTTTGTATTTTAAATTGCTTCGCATAAAATAAATCGGAAAAATTGTTTGACATCTTGTTGTTATATCACTACTGTGACTGAATTGACTAGTATGATGGCTAGCTGAAGCAACTAGCGAAGTTGAAGATGTGATGGGCAATGGGCAGTCTTAATTGTTACCTGGACTTCTATACTTTTGGTCGGGAATATATGCCAACAATATAGGCATGATCGAAAACTAAACATCTGATGCGGATTCCATTAGACTAGGTTGGCAATGCCTGATAACTATGTGTTCACACAATAAAAGTGCTTGTTTTGTATTGCACTGTTTACCTATTCTTGGTAATATTGTGGCCCGTGACCAATTCCGAAATTATTTTGTGGCCCGCGGAGCCCACAACCTTGGACCACCCTGATATAGATAACAGGTTGGGGATAGGATCTACATATGGTCCCGATTTACATTTGAGTTGCCTACATAAACAAATTATCGTACCATTTGAAAACTTGGCGCGGCGGTGTGGCTCAACGGGCTAAGCGTTAAGAATACGCTCGCCACCGCACCTCTAATTACTCTGCATGGGTTCGCAGGTTCGAATCCCATGCAAGGATGGTTATGTGCGAGAGAATTGCTGGACTTCTCGCCGTCGTTGGGTGGTTCACGTAACCGCTGGTCGGTTACGGCTTCCTCCACCATCAAGTCCATGTTTCCGAAAACAGACAATATAACTAATCCCATACCCGACTTGCAATGGTAACCGGACGAGAGGCCGTGGTTCGCCATATGGATAAGGCGTCTTATCAGCTTTCCTCTCCCCCGGGGGTAAATATGTAAGACTATCCTTGATTTAAACAATATTGTTATCGGGTCTGGTATAGTTTAGTACTACATGCACTTCTAGTTGGCCTGGCCTAACAATTTTTGCATATGTCAATCCTAATTCCCATCTGACTACGTTGCCAAAAGATGACGTCATTTCGACATCGCAGTGGTGTAATAAGGCCCACCGAAGTATGGGATGGTAGTCCAAAATGCGCAGACGATCACCCGAAGTCGAGCAAGCAATTTCTCTCGTTTTCTCGTCACAACGATCACGATAAAAGAGAGAGAATGCTGGTTTTAGCAAGTTTGTTATCGGCGGCGCAGATGCCATTTCGGGCGATCGTAAATTCGTAATTATACAGACAATCCCTATGACGTGATGGTGACGTCGTAGTGACGTAATTTTTGGTGGCATAGACAGGTGGGGGTTAGGAATAACATATGCAAAATTCGTTATGCTACGCCCACTGGAAGTACTTGTGGTACTAAACTATACTAGACCCTTGTTATCTAATCAATTCAAGGACCAGTTATAAAAATGTATATTTTAAACAGTTAGTGCTTAAACATGCTTTATACTTTACTCGTAGGTATATTATCTGCAGTGATTTTTGGGTACTCCTGAAGTATGCGCACCAAGATGTCGCACAACCTGAACCCTAACCTGGTACACAACCTGAATTCAGGTTGTGCGCCGTCTTGGTGCGCATACTTCAGGAGGTCCGATTTTTGTTTGTCCATTCCTATTAGGTGGAAGAACTAGCGCTAGCACATCTTCAAACTTTGATTTGAGTTTGAAAACCAGTAATACCTCTTGATCATATGTCGTACACCTGTACCACGGCCTGTCAAGCCTATCATGTTTCTAGTCCATGTCTAGTGTGGAATAGAAACAGTTAATCAGTTATTACTTATCGATCTTTAGATCGGTAAGTATGTTGATAGGTATCTGTCTGTCTGTCTGTCTGTTAGATGCACGCGATATCTCACGAAGGCGTGGTTGGATCTGCTCCAAGTTTTGCATGTGCATTCATCATATCTCGGACCAGAAGCCTATTGATTTTGGATAAAATATGTCGTATAATTAGCGAATTCTTAATTAATTAGTGATGGGACACGTGGTGTCACTATAGAGTCATGAATTGAAACCGCAGTTTCGATCGATAAGTCTTCGGTCTCTGACCAATATTCTCGTTTGTTTAAGTTGCACAGATGTGTCACGAACATTATTACTAAAATAATTATCAGACTCAATAATTCCTGTTGTTATAATGATTATATCTCACATTCGCAACTCAAAAATCCAAATTTTTTTGTACTATTTAAGATTAGGGATTTCTGTTTGTAGCCTTAAAATCAGAAATTAAAATCCAATTAAGTTAAGATTTTCATTTATATCCCAAGTGAGGAAAGTTAATAAGTTGACTCAATCCTGATGAACAGTGCTATTTTTACCAGTCAATGTCATGTCAGACATCACTCTTACTAAAAAATAACCATCAGACACCAAACTTTTCGTTTTCAAAATTTCAATATCCCATAGCTGATATCGAGTTTTGTTGGTCTCACTAAAATGAATCGAATTTAAAATTCTGACAATAGTTAGGAGAGAGGAAGAGATAGTTTATTCCATTCGTAAAACCACAAAACACACAATATATGCAAACGCATATAAACAATAAATAGACAGATGCTTTGGTGTATGTTTGGAGGCAACGATATGACAGTACAAATCCGCGTCAGGAACAAGGTTTGCTCTACATAGTCCCACAAAGACCCACCCAGTGCCTAGCGGGATGATTTCTCTTTAACGGCGATAGTGCCATTACTTTAAATAATATGAATGTCATTGGTATTTAAAGTATTAACTTTTTATATTTTTTATTGCAAGGTCTTAAAATAAAACTTTTATGGCCATTCATACATTTCGAATGTAGTTCGCGCGAATTGCTTAACTTCCATTGTCACGCCATAAAAGTTTATTCCGTCATCAGAAACTAGTTTCGTTTTTTTTGTTTGATCCCAAACACGGGGATAATTATATTGAATTAAATTTTTAAGGTACACATCTACACTCTGAACAAGTCTCTGTCTGAGCGGCTATTTTTATATTAAAATATAATCTTTTGTTCACGATGGTTAAATATTCTGCATAGCCCCAATGAAGGTACAAAGATCCCAAATCCAACCACAAACATCACAACTAGGGATTTTTTCAAAAAGAATTGTTTCAAAACAATTGTTTTAAATCAAGTTTTTTGTTCAAAATGGCTGTACTATTTGATTTTTTTTTGTATCAAATAGGTTGAAGAAAAATGGATATGAAACTTCTTCTCCAAGTTTTGCATGTGCATTCATCATATCTCGGACCAGAAGCCTATTGATTTTGGATAAAATATGTCGTATAATTAGCGAATTCTTAATTAATTAGTGATGGGACACGTGGTGTCACTATAGAGTCATGAATTGAAACCGCAGTTTCGATTGATAAGTCTTCGGTCTCCGACCGATATTCTCGTTTGTTTAAGTTGCACAGATGTGTCACGAATATTATTACTAAAATAATTATCAGACTCAATAATTCCTGTTGTTATGATGATTATATCTCACATTCACAACTCAAAAGTCCAAATTTTTTTGTACTATTCAAGATTAGGGATTTCTGTTTGTAGCCTTAAAATCAGAATTGAAATCCCATTGAGATAAGATTTTCATTTATATCCCAAATGAGGAAAGTTGATAAATCGACTCAATCCTGATGAACAGTGCTATTTTTACCAGTCAATGTCATGTCAGACATCACTCTTACTAAAAAATAACCATCAGACACCAAACTTTTCGTTTTCAAAATTTCATTATCCCATAGCTGATATTGAGTTTTGTTGGTCTCACTAACATGAATCGAATTTAAAATTCTGACAATACTTAGGAGAGAGGGAGAGAGTTTATTCCATTCGTAAAACCACAAAACACACAATATATGCAAACGCATATAAACAATAAATAGACAGATGCTTTGGTGTATGACAGGGAGGCAACGATATGACCTTTTGGGGTCATCAGAGTATGTTGCTCCCATACAATCACATTACCAGCAACAAATTGAGATTTGTTCCCTAAGAAGCAAAAATGACCATTAAGTTATGTATCCTGAGGAGAAAGAGTTTATTATCTTTCTGTAACTCACATTCAAATTTTGTTTGCCTTATAGTTGGACTTAAAATTATTTAGCCATTTGTATCCCAGTGAATATCACTTTCTGGAATTGCTTGCAATGAACTTGGGCAACGAACTGTTTATCTGTAAATTCAAGCAGTGCTGAGAGAAAAATTATCTCTATTTTTTCAGATGCTCTCCAACTTCACATACTCATCTCAATCAGTTCAACTTCAATATGGAGACTACCTCTATCCAAGATGGACACAAGCTTTGGGCAGTTTCATAGCGTTGAGCTCAACAATATGGATTCTAATAGGAATATTACACACAGTATGCACCAATGTCGGAACTTGTAAGCAGGTGGGAAAATATTTGGCATTTGGATTTTAAATTGTGTTTGTTTTGTTCTGTTTTTTGACTGTTTTTGATGAACGGACGAGTACTTGTATGTCTTTTAACTTTGTCCTTAAATTATACCCTTCCCCCAGGCCTTCTTCATTTTGTTTGTCCGTTTGTTGTTGTTTTGTTTTATGTCAGAGGGACCAAAATAAAAACATGTATAGAAACATGTGTATTTTGTGTGTAAACATGTGTAATTCCATTTTTGTTTTCCAATTTTGAACCTAGTACTAAACGGGGAATAAATTTTTGAACTTCTACTATGAAGCATATACATTCATATATAACGAGGATATACATATTTTTATCCCGGGGAAAGGAAAGCCGATAAGATGGCTTGAAGATATGACGAATCACGTCCAGTTACCAGTCCATGTCGGGTATGAGAATAGTTGGACAGTTATTTGTTTCAGGGCTTAATGGTGAAGAAAGTCGTAACCAACCAGCGGTTTTCTGAACAAACCTACGATGGCGAAAAGTCCAGCAATCCTCTTGCACATAATTATCCCTGACAGGAATCAAACCTGGGAACCCACGCAGGGTAATCAGAGGTGCGGTTGCCAGTGTAACGCATAGCACGATGTGCCGAGCCAAGTTACATGTTCTAAAAAATTATTTTATGCTATTAGTGTAGAAATAAGTTCCTCACTCACACCTTGTGCTGGAGAGGCTACAGTCATTGACTGAATCTGAACTGGTATCACAAATCACCATAGACTCGAGGTATTTAAATGGATTGGCCCTGACTAGTGGGATTCGAATTTTTTGTCAGTCGGTTCCATCACAAAAGTTATATTTTTCAGCCGGTTCTGTTACAAAATGTCATTGATAGTAACCAGTAATGCTAACCGGTTCGCTGGGTTCCATTACATTTGAACCCACGTACATTTGAACCCATGGCAATTGCACCTGTATGCTATTGCACCTATGGAATTTTTTTTGTTTTTTGGATAGTTGAACCCACACTAACCCTAACCCATGGGTTTTAGCACCCGCATATAGATTGAACCCGTGGATATACACATGGGTTCAAATGTACAGGGGTTCAAATGTACGGTCACCGGTTCGCTGATCTCATAAAATTTCGTGAGACGGTTCTATAGAACCGGTGCGAACCGGCTGAATCCCACTACTGTCCCTGCCTAACTTGTCATCAACGTACCATGAGGGAGACTTGACTAAGTTATTTGTTCGATTTCGAGACTTGACTCTCGGATGACCTGTGACTCTCAACTCTGGGTTTATGGGACTTGTACCCAACATTTCTCGCACCCCTCAGGTATGCACATACTAGTATGCTTCAGAGCTTTTCATCTTAGAGAGGGTGATTCCAAATTTAGGGGGTGATAGATGTTTGGAATTATGTATGTATTCGATCATTTGCACTGTATATATATATATGACTATATTAGTAGTATATTAGTATCAGTAGTATATATGCGACTTCCTGGATATTTAAATACAATTATATTCAAGTCAGGGTGCTTCCGTAGTATGTCTACCAGGTTAGGGTTGGACCATAAATTTATTCCAATTTTCCTTGTTTTAGTTCTATTACGAGTCGGGGACTGTCAGTGTTAGCCAAGTGAATATATCCCCTGCCCACAGGCTTCTCCCTTCACAAAACTTGATGTAAATTAACCGAACAAAATTAGTTGCATATTGGTACACATACTTCTGGAGCGTCGTAATTTGTAAATCTAGTGTGTTTCGAGTAAAAAATAAACTACTGACTTACTGGCTGTATGATATTTTAGAGAGAGTATTCACTCGCCTATAAAAGGGGTGCAGAGAAATCACTGACCCATATCCCCATAGTTGACAACACTTCTGTGAATGAAATACTCATTTACTAACCAAGTACTATAACTAATTACTAAAATAACTTTTTCGCAGAGATGCGGCATGGGACTTCGGCCAACTTTCCAGCCAGTGTATGCATCGATTACTAATAAAAGAAGCGAAGGGATAGAACCTACCAATGACGAGCCCCCAACAAACATTGAAATGGTGGCCCAACCAATTGTTGAGCAACCACTTTTGGTCGAAGCTACTGTGGAACCGACAACACAATCAACTGCCAATGAAGGGGATTGCTCTTCTCCACCACCTGACTACGAGTCTGCGGCCGTACAGACTTGAGATATTTTGAAAAAATTTGCGAATCTTGAAAGTGCAAACTAATATGGCATGAAGATTGCGACATGAATGTTGCATAATGAGAGCAGTAGACAGCAGATATTGTTTAAATTAAGGAAAAATTTACACATGTATCAATACTAAACATCATTTTTATATTTCTCCAAAAAAGCCTTGGCTTTTGGTAATATTAGGGTTTTTAAATTTCATAAATTTATGAGTGCAAACTTGCGACACTCATGTATCAAAACATCATCTTTATATTTCTTGAAATTGCCTTGGTAATATTATCAATTTTGTAACTTGAGATACTAATGTATCAGAACAAAACAGTGTTCCAATTTGTCTCGAAAATGCTTTGATGATGCTAACAGCAAGTTTTTGATCTGGATATGGTTTTTGCTAAGTAGTCGTAAATTCATAAATTTACTGTTTTTGTGTCTGTGGGGTGATTTTTAAAGCCTTATATGAAATGTTTCTGTTTGATACTTTAGTCCACTTACAGACTTGAGAAACTGATTTATCAATACTTGAACTTCACTTTTATATTTTTCAAAAGTGCTTCAGTAATATTGAGTTATTAAATTTCGTTTTTGTGTCTATGGGAAGATTTAAAAGCCATACATGAATTGTCATTCTTGCCGACCTGAGACACTAATTTAGCAATACTTAAATATCGTTTTTAAATTTCATAAAATCACAGATTTTGTGTTCGTAGTTTGATTTTTAAACCTATCGCCATTCTGTTTGACACTTTATTAGTCCACTTGCAGACTAGAGACACTAATGGCGTTTTTATATTCCTTAAGAGTGCTTCCATGATATTACTGATTTTAAAATTTCGTATCGTTTTCCATGGTCTTATTTTGATCGCTTCTTTGCTTTTTGAAGCCAATCATTGGCTTTCTGTTTGACATTTCCAGCAAATGCATAATTTGCTATTAGATGGTGGCTTTATCGACTTTGAATGTTTTAAAAAAATTGGAAAAGTTTTGAAAATGCAAATTATATGGCTGTGCAGATTGAGCTTACTTATCGACTTACCAGTGGATGCTTTGAAAAATTAATTACAAGTTTTAAGACACTAATGTATCAAAATGAAATAGAGTTTTTATTTTTTGAAAGTCCTTTGGTATTATTAACATTTTTAAAATTTTATATAGTTTTGTCGAAATTAAAACATAGTTTCTATATTTTCTGTTTTATTAATATCAATTGCTTATTGACAATGAGACTATAATGACTTGAAAAATTGATGAAATTTATGATTGCAAACTAATATGTGTTTTATATTTCTTGAATATGCTTTGGTAATTTGTATTATTATTGACCGAACTATGATACTGCAGACTAATCTACTTGAGATAGGTCCAAAATTATTGAAATTTAAAAATGCAAATTTTTTATACCGCGAACCCCTGTTTGTGAATCTTATTTTTTACAGAGGTCTACTTCGCAGAAGCTGAAAACAGGGTTCGCCCACATTTACAACAACTTGTTAAGGACTCGTAACAATTAAAATTTGCGACTTTATCTTGTTCACGAATGTCTATGCACAGTGGATATACACTAAATGTATAAATTTAAGACTCTTAATATCGCTGCCGCCCCCCTGTGTAGTTCTCACGGACCCCCAATGGCCGGCGCACCCCAGTTTGGGAAAACCTGCACTGATGTATCAAGATTGAGATAGAAATGCAACAGTGTTTTATATTTCTCGAATATGCTTTAGTAATTGGTGGACATTAATGTATCAATATTATCTATTTTTCATGAAGTTGAATTTGCATTAACATGTCTCATTCCACAAAGTAGAAGGAGAATTTCTTAGCTTTCTATTACAAAAGTTTTTTATTTGCATTGGATGGTATTTTCTGAATCTTCAGTGTATTCCTACCTCTCTTAAGTTTTGTTTGCCGATTAGTTTTATTTTCAAAATTCTATTTCACAATTAAAATCATTAATGTTGCAGCATGACTGGCATTTCATTTGCATGTGCATCTTCCAAGTCGATTCTGTCCCAAATCTTCCAGTACCCACAGCATTTAGGTACTCCCAAAAGATGTGAACCATGATGGCGGACACCGGATTGTAGTATGTGTACCAGGTTTGACCATACTTTCAGGTACAAATACTACGGGAGTTACTTGGCTAGTCCCCGAACTTGTAATAGAACTAAAATAAATTGGAATAAAATTATGGCCTAACCTCAACATGCTACACACACTACGTTCCGGTGTTCGTCATCATGGTTAGTTTACATACTTCGGAAGTACCATTATTTTTCCTCATCATATCATATTTGCACTATCATCACCTTATTACAATCATCTGTATTCATTTTACAAAGTTAATCATAATTTTGGTGTATATAACTTTTTGCTTGAAACTATGTTTTTGTTTTTACTTTTGTGATCTAGAGTTTTCACGAAAGCCGATATTATGCAGGCAGGCCAATCATGAAATGCTCTCAAAAAATTATCAGATAGTCACTTGCTCTATGAGCCTTCTAAATTTTTCAGGAGATAAGTTTGCTAGTGTTTATATTAGTACACAAAACTTAACTTTTGAGTAGCAGTTTGACCGTCCTAAATTTATGAATTTACCATTTCGCTGAAAATCAACTTTTTTTAAGATTACCCCGCCACTTTCATGAGATCACGTTACTGCCAAAAGTACCGGTAATAAGCTGCAGAGATAACTCTTTCGACTCCATAATTAGCTAACATCTGTTCCTTATAATATTAGTTTCTGATTATCTTACTGAAACATGCAACAATTGAATTTGCTGGATTGTGTTATTTTTTTAGGGCGTAAGTTATTAGCTTCCAGGGATGAAGTGAGTGTATCAGATGAGGTTTTCGATTCAGTACCAAAAGGGGAGAGACATAATTTTAATACTTAGAACAATCAAGTTCAAAAATCAAGTAGAAAAGTCAAGTCTGCTCAAAGTAGTCCCAAAGTTTCCTTGGGCGTTATTAACACAAAGTTGGAATTCGTTTTTAAATAGCTCAGAGTTTGGAGTCAGGTGTGAACTGGAGAGGGATGATTTTCATATTTATCACTCATCTATCATTTTTTTAGTTACAATTTAGATCGACAATGGGCAAACTGCAGAGCATTTTGTGCCGGCCTCTGCTCTTGAAGACGAAATTCAGATTTATTTTCACAATTTCTTTAAAATATCCGGACTATGAAATAATATAGATGTCTTTTTTTCAACTTCGGTTCAATGCCAACCATGGTATTGATTAAGTACTCTTCTTAACGCGACCCTTTGCAAAAAAGATTTGGCCGCCTCCCTGGGTTGGATCATGTCGCAGAAAAAAATAAAACGACCCAACTGATACATGTTAATTTAATGGAACGGTTCTCAGATCAAATACCAAAATTTGAATGAAGCAATATAAATATAATCAAAGAAATACAGACCATAAAAAGTTGATTAAAAAGTTAAAATTATAAATTCCTAATTGACTAATGTGCTGCATAGCATGAAATTCGATTACAAAAAAGCTTTACGAAACATATAGTACAAGAAAAATTGAAACATTCATTTTCTGGTAGAAAGTCACCGCTGCTGGACAGATTTATAGTAAAACATATAGTACATGAAAAAGTTTCCTAGAGGTAAGATTGGGCCCAAAAATTCAACCCGGGCAGTGCCCATTGGTATTAAACCCGACCTCGACTAATTAACTGGATTTGCGGGTCGAATTCCACAAATAGTTTTAGTATATGTTTTTTATAAACATATATTTATTTTAAAAAAAAGGCAGCGATGGAGAAGCCTGACCCGACCCAAATTTTGGTCGAGTTGGGCTCCAGATCTTAGCTCCAGTCACTACCAGGCTGATTCATATGACAACATGCGTAATTGATGAAAGTTTTGTAGAGTTATGGATTCAGACGTCTTATCAATGCAATACAATTTTATTTCAACCTTTCGTCTACAGCACAAATAAAATAAAAAACTCAGACAAGGGCAACTGAAAGATCAGGAAAATGAGCAAAACCTATATAAAGGTCTATAACGAGCGCTGTAACGACACTCGCACAAGTGAAAACACATCACGAAAATCATACTAGAATAACACAGGCTTTCTGCGATGATCATTTGCACACTAACGCCATCCATACCCTGAGTATGCGTTTCTGAACATGCAACTGGTAGTGTTGAAAGAAAGTTTTTCTCAGGAGGAGTTATGCATTCAAATGCCTCCCCGAAAATATATTCAAATTAATCTATAAGGTTTTCTAAGTTTATGCGCTGCAGCACGTTATTTATTTTGCCAACGATTCGTTATTTTCAACGTAAATTTAAATCCATAAAAGCTATATTCGTTATTTCAGCGGGCATAAGTGGGCCGAATATAACACTTTGGTGGGCTGGATCCGGCCCACGGGTCGAAAATTGCCCACCCCCTCATTCAAAATAATATAAATCTGTAAGATCTGTGTATATACCGTCACTTATGGCTTACTTGATGAGCTTTATAATCTATAATGGATCTAAAATTGTTTTCTCGTGTGGTTACTGCAGGGCTGATTCATATGACAAAAAGCACAAGTGATAATAAAGTTTTGTTGGTGTTATGCATTCAAACGCCTCCCACATCCAGAAGCTTCCTGTTTTGATCAACAGTCAATAGATTATACACATTCCCACACAAGTGCCATCAATATCGTGATTATGCGTTTCAGAACATGCATTCAAAATAATATTAAACTACAAGGTTTGTGCATGTACTTAAGGTTTACCCTGATTCTTTGTTGGGTTTTATAAATTCATAGTGGATCTAGAACAGAGGTTGTGAGGTCTGTGTATATACCGGTACTTGAGGTTCACTCTGATGAGTTTTATAATTCAAACGTCTCCCACATTCACAAACTTCCTGTTTTGATCAACAGTCATTGAATCACACAAATTCCCACACAAACGCCATCAATACTTTGATTATGCTGGACATGCATCAAAACAATATAAAAATTAGAAGGTTTGTTAGGTGCTTCATGTACTTTAAAGTTTACCCTAATTCTTTGATGGGTTTTATAAATTTATAATGGGTTAAGAACAGTGGTTGTCAACCTTTTTTCTTTCGTGGCCACTTTTGTTGCATAAAAATTCTGTGGCACACTAACTTTCTCATGCAAGGAAAAAACTACAAGAAAAATAAGAATATTTTTGCCAAAATAAATACTTTCACTTTGATGATTAGAATGAAAAGCAGCAGCATCATTCATTGCTACGACCATAAAATTTGACTGTAATGACACAAATAAAACAACTTTTCAATAACCATAGTAATTTTTTTGTAGTCTCGTGGCCCACTTAAAGATGTCTCTATGGCCCAGTGTCGGGCCATGGCCTCTTTGTTGAGAACCGGTGATGTAGAATAATTTTTTAGCTGCTTGTTTAAAAAATTTGAAAAAGTGTAAAAAAAATCAAAGTTTTCCCGGGCAAAAGATTTAAATAGAGTATTGAAGATTTATTTAGTCTTTGTGTGCCATTTTTCGAATGGTTAGGGGACAAATAACAATTATCTTTAGACTGCCGGTTCTCAACAAGTGCGCCATTGAAACATTTTCAGATGGAACACAAACTTAAGAGTTATTGATAACTGAGTAAAACTTTCATTGCAGTAGCAATGAATGATAATGCTGTTTTTGCTACTGAGTGGCATTTTATTTATTAAAGTGAAAAAATCTATTTGTGTGGGAGAGTTGTATGAGAAAGTTAATGAGCCGCAGAGTAATTTGTGAAACAAAAGTGGGCCCCGAAAGTGGGCCACGAAGAAGAAAGGGTTGAGAACCACTGCTCAAGACAGAGTCAGACAAAGAGAAGTAAGCTTCACCAATCACCACTATAAAAAATGTTGACACAAAAAATACAAAATAATAAAAATCAAGATAAAATATTGAAACAGTGTGATTAAAATTGAAAATAAAATTCCATCTACAAAACAAGAATAAAGAACTAATTTCGATAATTTTTCAAAAATGCTTTTTATCTAAATCAGTCGTTCTCAAACAGTGGGGACTGCAAATTTTTGAGGGGGTTGTGAAGCTATTAAAGAATAAAAATATGTGTTAGATTAGCCCGCCTTATTTTGGATATTTACATTTCTTTATTTTGGATATTTACGTTTCATCCACGCATTTACAACGTGTTTTTTGAATAAAGCATAATTTCGCCTTACAATCTGTTATGTGTAGCTTATTGTTAGCAAGTAATTTTTGAGGGGGGGGGGGGGGCGCGAGACTTGACAAATTCTAAAAAGAGGGCGTGGTTTAAAAAGTCCGAGGACCACTTGTTTAAATTTTATCTCCATAGGTATTTATGTATAAAGATACAATCCCAAGGTTCACGCAGAACGACCTAAATGCTCAATGCTAACCGACTAACCAATAAATTTCATGTTGTTAAATATTTGAAGCATTTTTGCTGATATATGTAAAAAATGATCAGTCAAGGATCAAAATATAATTGGATTGCCGGTTGTTGCACGCACTAAACGTGAACAGCACTGCATGTTTTTTTACATTTATCTACGAGTATAAAAAAAGAACTGAAATATTAGAAATATGAAAAAAATCAGATTTACCACAAACCTGGAATTTTGTCACCATGCATAGACCAATCTTTTGCATTTCAATTTTATATGAAATATATATATTTTAGTCCTATTATCAGTTCGAAGACTAGCCAAGAGCCTCCCGTAGTATTTATACCTAAAATTATGGCCTAACCCTAACCTAGTACACATATTACATTCCGATGTCCGCCATTTTGGTTCGCATACTTCGGGAGCCCCGAAATATATATATACAGATACATAATTATCCAAAACAGGGGATGCTAGAACATTGAGACCTCCAGAAGTATGCGAACCAAGATTGCGCACAACCTGAACTCAGGCTGTGTACCAGATTAGGGTTTAGGTTGTGTGACATCTTGGTGCGCATACTTCAGGGAGTACCGAACACCGAGTCGTGACATCGTATTTAGTATTCGTATGCGACAGCTTATTTCTGTGAAATATATATGTTATAATAAGCAGCAAGAATCTTGAATCACTTACTTATGATATATATATGTTGTGGATTTTACAGAGCTTTTTTGCAAAAAAAAAATTTGAAAAATAATACAATAAACGCAAAATTTTAAACCTACCCAGCATCCCTATTCTTACAACATGAAATACTCAATTATGAGTTGGGTTGCGCGAGACTAACTCCCACTCCTTCCTCAATGTCTTCGTGCAAGTGGATTCGTATAATGCAAAGATGCTGTAGCAGGAATAAACATGACTATACTGCTGTACACTAACACAAATTGTATTTGCGTAACGTTTTGTCCGACCAAAATTAGAATTACTCGGACAAGACGTTTAAAACATTTTTTTTCCCACTAACACAAATGTATTTCTGTAAACTGCTTATCTGGGGAAGTCTGACTTTGGTCAGGCGAAACATTACAGAACTACATTTACGGTATGTTAGTGTGCAGCAGCACTTTAAATAGCATAAAATACTTTATTTTACTTTTATTTGTTTGAAGCAGAGGTGAATATTCCTATAAACTTCAATTTCAAATCAATCCCTGAGATTCTATATTCCTCATACACTACAGTCAGTTTATTAGGTACCTCAGAAAAGTGTGTGTACCAATATGGAGGTAACTAATTTTGTTCGCTTACTTTACATCAAGTTGTGTGAAGGGACTATGAGCAGGGGGTATATTCACTTTGCTAACACAGACAGTCCCAGAACTCGTAATGGAACTAAAATAAGGAAAATCGGAATGAAATTATGACCTAACCCTAACCTGGTACACACACTACGGGAATACCGTTTATTTTGCTTCTGTTGTACTTCTATATCTGACTCCATTTGCCATGTCACCAGCTGCGTTTCCATTTGTATGGCCGTTCATCTCTGGTTTCGATTTTTTTTCTGAAGTTGTGAAGGTTTGTTTTGATGGTTGTTTGAATAACAATTTCTTAGCTTTGTATCTACAAAAGTAAAAATGACTTAAATCAGCGGTTCACAAACTTTTTGTGCATACGGTGCCAAATTATCAGAGACAAACCTCATGGCGCACCTATACAAAGAAAATGCTGCTTTAAATAAAACTCGATTTTGTTTTCTGTTAATTTTCACGGCGCACCCTTTGAGAACAGCTGGTTTAAATAATGGGGATGATTGGATCTAATAAAAAGTCAAAATCATAAGTTAAGAAATCAGAGCAATGTTATGAAGGGTTAGATTTTTGCTTGAGAGTTAAACATTGGTCTAACAAGCCTAGCACGTGTCAGTGTTGGGAAGACTGCAACCATGGGTTCGGCTCCAAGTCTGCATTTATCGAAGACTAAAAAGCTATCAGAGTTGTTTAAATGAAATGACCAGGAAACGTACAACTACCCAAACTAATATTTCGTCAGATCAGTGGCCATGGCCACTTAAAACTCTTCTATCAGTTTTGTTTTAATTTTTTGTTGAAAATGCTTCAAGCAAATTTGCATAGAAACATGTTTTCTCAGAGAGTGAATAAAATGAAAAATTCATATGCAGAAATTAGAAAAAAAAACCAGAGCGCAATCGAATATAAGAAAATTATAAAGTTCATTTATAGGCAGGGATTCCATACCGTCCTTGGTCTAAGATTTGTCCTTAATTTTGGCTTGCGTGTCCTTATTTTGTTCTATTTGGACTTCATAAAGGAAGCCTTGTGTTGTTTGTTTTATCACCAAAGCTTTATTGTGGCATCATAAAAGCAACACAATCTTATTTGGAACACAAAGAAGCAATGCACAGATAGGCATGAAGCATTGTTAGTGTGGCGATCGTTAGGTTTTGTCGTGGTGGTGGTTATTTAAGCTTAATTTAAAAATGAGCGAATGTAAGAAGTTTTTCGTGAGTACGGGAAAGAATTCAAAGTTAAACGAAGTTTGAAGGGTGAGTGCTTCGCACACTGTGACGTCTGTAATTGTGACATCAACCTGGAAGCCATAGGAAAGCCATCTATTTTTGCTTACAATGCAGAAAATTTTCAAGTCGTCCTTATTTTGAGTTCCAGATCGATGGAATCCCTGTTTATAAGCCTTGTGACAATAAATGAAAGAAGACTGAACATTGATTGCCGGGGGAGAAACAAGAAATTCACTGACCTTGCAAATGATAGAACTTGTAACAGAAATACACAGTTGACTAAGTACATGCATGAACCACCGAGCTTCATAATAATGGGTGCCGGTGAAAGAAGTTCACAGTATGCGAGGTATCCTCCTGGAGAAAATATGAAGAAAAATTTAAAGTCTCGGTACTGATTGAAAAAAACATTCAAAATTTTACTAAAGTTGTCCCAACTGAATGTGTTTTGACAAAAAAAAATTTCTGCCTAAACTGCAGCAATGATAAATGCAATACAGGCTGAACTGATTGTCAAAGTTGATCTGTGTACCTAAATACATATATTAATATATAGATCTGAATTTTTCACTAATGAAATTTAGAAATAAAAAACTTAAACTTACCAAGAAATATTCGAAATCCAACGAATAAAAGAACAAATAAAATATCATTTGTTATTCCCAAAGTTGTATCATGCATCTTATGGTATTTAATGAACCATCGTAGCTGAAATAAAAAAAAAATTGCCATCAAAATTCGAGCGGAAACTTCATGCAATTTTACAGAAAACCATTGATTCTGATATTTTAAACCATAAAAGACTTTTGTGCGCTATTACATGGTGACCCGAAACCCAGATCAGGGGAGGACTTCCGGGGGTCAACCCCGCCCTCCAGATGATTTTGTCTATATCTTATTAACATATGTTGTTTCCGACTTACAAAAACATCATTGTGTTCGAAAGGTGCGATAGGCGCAACTTGCAGCGGGAACAAATGAATAACCGTGCTTCTTGGTTGACAGTCCACGTTCACCTAACTTTGAATCAAACAAAAACTTTATACAAAATCGAAATACTTCCTAACTTCTCTGTTGCCAAAGGTTTAATTAATAAAGCATATTTGAGTCTAATTGACAGATTTCAACTCAAATCGACAACATTTAAAATTGAAATAAATCAAGTATTGTAGATCCTTCTGCTTGGCGATCTTCCAAGATCCCTTGTGACTCCTGCCACACAATTCAAGTCAAGTTTATGTTATCCAACCAGTAAAAAACAATCACATAAAATATCCAAAAAAGAGGTAATCGTATAATTTTACTGGGAAGGGAAGGCGTGGGGAACCAAATATGGTTATCCAGCAGCGACACCCAAAGAACGCCGGTACACTCAATTAGTATATACATAAATTTGTTGATATTTGCAATGTTTTTTTTTCATGATGTGATTTTATTGTGTCAATAAAAAAAGGATGAATGATTTATGAAATATCTCTAAAATCTTGAAAATATAGAGCAAATTTTAAATTTATTTGAATGAATGTTGAATCCTTTAAAATGCCCCTTTCTTAGGGGAACCAATCTCAAAATGTAAAAAGATGCATTTTTTATTTCTGTACATCCCTCCCTTCCTCCCAAAAAAAAAAATTAAAAATGTCCCCCTCCCCAATTAGGGGTAACACTATCCATACTTACATCTAAAAATATTGTTGAAATTTCACTTCCAAAGATTGTTGCCAAAACTTCAACTCCTGACACCCCCATCCATAAGCTGATGGACATTGTCACTATACTGATCATATGATGAATAAGCATGATTGGTCCTTCTGTGTTATAATGGAGGCACCTGGAATATACAACAGTATATTGAAAACGTTGTCAAAATATGTTTTTTTATTATTTTTCTCTATGCGGGTTTCGGTCCAAACAAGGGGAAGATTAAGTGTCTGACCCCCCGTTTTGAAATGTAGAAAAAACATTTTTCTGTATCATAGATAGCAATTTTTCGTAGCTTAAAACGCTTTTTAGACTCTGAAGACCCCCAAACAAGGCTTTATACAAAGAATATGTAAGATCAGGGGCGTAGCCAGAGGAGTGAGGTTGAACGATCGAACCCCCCTCCCCCTTTTTTGAAATGTAAAAAAAAAACTTTTTTCTGTCCGATACATTACAAATTTTCGTAGCTCGAAATGCTTTTTCGACCCTTGAGACTTTTGAAAAGTCACATTAGGCTGATATGGTCTGGATAGGATTAGGATAGGATTTACATATTTATCCCGGGGGAGAGGAAAGCCGATAAGACGGCTTATCCATATGGCGAACCACGGCCTCTCGTCCGGTTACCATTCCAAGTCGGGTATGGGATTAGTTATATGGTTTGTTTTCGAAAGCATGGAATTGGTGGTGGAGGAAGCCGTAACCGACCAGTGGTTACGTGAACCACCCAACGACGGCGAGGAGTCCAGCAATCCTCTCACACATAACCATCCCTGCATGGGATTCGAACCTGCGAACCCACGCAGAGTAATTAGAGGTGCGGTGGCGAGCGTATTCCTAACGCTTAGCCCGCTGAGCCACACCGCCGCCTGGCTTGGCAATTACAAATTTCAGAATGCCCCTTCCCCCCTTTGAAAATTCCTGACTACAACCATGTGTGAAGGGCTGCTATATTTTAAAACATCTGGAAGGATTCTGTGTTATAATGGAGACACCTGGAACATATAACATAATATTGAAAACCTTCTCTCAAAAATATGGACACCAAGATTAGATAACTTATATTGCGACCTTAAATGTCAGCGAAATCCTAGTCCAAAGATATTAAATGTTATGTCAAGGTATCATGTCAATAGTATGTAAAGGAGCAATACGCGAACATATATACCAGGGTGGTCCAAGATTGGCAGCTCCGCAGGCCACAACATTGCTTCTGCATTGTTCGCGGGCCTCAATAGTGCCAAGAACTTCGCTCGTTTAACTTCGCTAGTTGCCTCCGCAAGCCATAACAATAGCCAATTCAGTGACATTAGTGATGCAACAATATGTCAAAAGATTTTTTGGTTAATTTTATGACGAAACAACACGAAATGCGATTTTCTGATTCCTCTCCGAATGCGACGCGTGCCACAGATAATGAAGTGGCGGGCCACATGTAGTCAGGAATTTTCAAAGGGGGGAAGGGGCATGTGGCCCGCGGGCCTGGATTTGGACCACCCTGATATAGACACAGAAGTCTAATGAATAATATGGCAATCCGCAATGTCAGCAGAATTGCAAATAAAATTTTACCAATGTCATATGAAAGAGTGATTAATATGGCCACTACAATGTCCTCAAAATTCCCAAAAGAATTTTATCTAGCAGAAGCAACAAGCCTGACAGTAAATAAGAGAGCAGTGCTCAAACATATGGATACAGGAGTCTAATGATTATGTAGTAATTCACAATGCCAGCCCGAACTGCAGCACAATTGTTAAAAATGTTCAACAACGTCAATATTATGAATGAGTGACTAATATGGCCAGCAAAATTCCTAGAAAGATATTATCCTAAAATATTTTATTGAACTTCATATGGAGATGTGCTTGTCAAACATTAAGTGGCAAGCTTGTTACTATATATATGGGAGAGTAATAGTCAAACATATTGACAAATAAGTGAAATGATTAATATGGCAATCAGCAATGTCAGCAGATTTGCAGGCACAATTGCTAAAATTTTTTACCAATGTCATATAAAAGAGTGATTAATATGATCACTACAATGCCAGCAAAATTCCAGTCCTAATGTTAAAAAAAATATATATGGATACAAAAGTCCAATGATAAACATGCGATTCGAAATGTCATAACTGCAGGCACAATTGGTAAATTTTTTTGTTACCAATGTTATATGAAAGAGTGGTTTCCAATCAATAAATTTGATAGAATTAATAAAGAAATGCTCAATATATGGACAGAGTTGTAATGAATAACAAGCACAATGTCAGTAAAATCCCAGCCTATCAGCGCATGATTTCCACCAGGTATCGTATATTCATGTCAGGGATAAATAAAGCAGAACCGGTATATATCGAAACGTTGTAATTCGCCAAGTAGTGCTTTATTTATCCTTGACATCCCTGCCTATTGTTGGGAAGAATTGTACAGTATATCATGAACGATTTTCTAAGTCATATAATGAAGGTGTGCTCACAATTATAAGAATCAGACAAATTTAGAGTGAAATATCAGTCCCCATCAAAAATTAAAACAAAAATGTTATTTTTATTTTCAATTAGTTTCATGCTCCCCACCGTTTGAGAAAGATAATGAAAAATAATACGTCGAACATGGCAAGGCTAAAAATTATTCCTCATCAATTTTAGGAAAACATTTCATATAGATAAATTCAAATATTACTCACCATATAAAATCATAAAAGAAATATCCTAACGAGACAGAAATAACATCAATTTCAATCGGATTATTCGGAAGGCCTGAAAAAAAAATAATTTAGAAGTATTTTTAGTTGCGACTGGGTACACTAGGAGATGATTATATATTGAACCATGAAGCCATGAAATAGCAATAATATTTGTGAACCTTCGTTCGATCTCACTCTAACCTTTTCAGATTCACATCAAGAAAATTTATTTTTGTCGTGCATGAAACATTGTAAACAGATACAAAATTTCAACCGCAATTGACAGGGGTTGTAAAAGACTATTCAGTAATTGCATAAGCGACACCGTATTTCCTGAGTTCAGCAGCAGATGACGTAGAACAAACATGAAATAATATGAACTATTGTTTTTCAAAAAAAAAATGAAAACAATTTGGAAATATAAATCGGGAGTCAGTCCGGAGATTAGTGATTGAATAGGTCAGTTCAGATTATTAATGTCAGGGCCGGGGGCTAGTTTGGGAGCTCTGGCCCAGGTCCACATAACTAAAATGTGACGGCTCTGTGACACTGGCTCTCCAACCCTGATTAACGTCATGCTGAGACAAAACAAGAAATAACTCAAAAGAGCGATCACTTGTGTGTAACTCTATCCATGTTTAGCTGAATGCTAAATGGTAAAAACCTTGCTACCAAATTTATATATGAAAGCTTGTCTAAATTTAACTAATTTTTGAGAAATTGGAAATGCGTGAAAATGACTTCAGTCCATGATAAATTGTCTGTGGTGCCTTTAGTTAGTATACTCTCGTCCAAATTGCTTGGTAGCAATACTGCTGTTTTATGCGCAATTTCTTCTTGGGCGAGAAAATGGCAATAAAATCAGAAAGAATGCCCTTATAATAGAATAGAAAGGCATTTACCTAACATATCAAACGGCCATGTCCCTGAGAAAAACAAAAGCTTGCAGTTGATCACAGTGATTATAATTGCATGAATAACTGTTATAATTCGACAGCTGTACTCTGGGCATTTTGTGCTGAAAAAAATAAAATATCAAGTTTTGAGACTCTGGTTCACAGACTGATTATTAATTTGGGAAACTTATTAAGTTTAGTATAAGTTTATTTGGACTCTATAATTAGCATAAAAGACAATAAAATAATTCATAAAAACTAAATAAATAAAACTGATTACAGCATCAGGAGAGCAAACAAAACCTTAAGTGAGGTTTGAAATGTACAGATTTTAGATCGAAGGGTTTTGTCACAATTCAAAAAAATTAGTTCAAATATGTGTCAATATCTTAAAAATGTGTAGTTGATTTATTCTTTTTTCTCTTTACAATATATAAAGTAAATATGTTGAATATTATATCAGTTTTAAAAATAAACTGAATGAAAAATAGGGCGGATAGGATTCTGAAATTAATTCAGTAATTGGGAGAAGAAAAGCTGATATGAAAATCATATTCCTAACGATACAACACTAAGCACCGAAGCATGATGTGCCGATAGTGTCAGAGTGTGTCCAATAATCCTGTAATTTGCATACTATTGTAATAGGTGACAAGCAGTAAGTAATAGGTGACAAGTGACGTAATTTTTCGGTGACGTAGTCAGATGGGGTTAGGATTGACATATGCAAAAATTGTTGAGCCAGGCCAACTAGAAGTGGATGTGGTACCGGTACTAAACTATACCAGACCTAAAAAAAGTTTAAAATTGAAAGGCAGAAAGGAGAAATCATGAGAAGTCAGGAAGTGTGATAAACGATTTTAAGAAAACTTCATAGTCAGACAGTACACACACATTAAACATGGCATGGAACCTTTGAAAAAGTTCAAAAAAAGTTAAATTTACAGATTTACCTGTTAAATCTCTTCACAAATCTATATGAAGTATACCACAATATGGCCCATCCTATTACTTTTCTCCAAATTGAAAAATCTTCCATAATGAAGCACAGGTGACTACCGCATTGGTGGATTCTATCCTAATCGATGCTTAAGGAGCTAACTAGCTGCCTAGCTAACGCTAAATGCCGAGTAATTCAGAAATCATGTCTGATAAACGTTTCCAAGGCCAGACGCTTAGGATAAAACGCTGACTATCAACCGCTGTTATGTATGCTTGAAAGGATGTGGTCCGTACGTCCGCTTTTTTCAATTATTTCGGATTTGTTTGTTTTGAATCCGCGAGATGATGATAGTGAGACATTTTAATGGGGGTGGACGGAGTCAAATATTATCGGTTAGCATCCATACATTTTCACAGATGATAGAAAAACCTCTGCATAATCAAATGGCGAAGGACTCTCTCTCACATGGTAACCAGCCCGTGTCGGTTATGAGAATAGTTGATTGCCGTTGATAATCAATTCAGATGTATGGACTGAATTATTCGTAATCGGTTTTATTTATTTCGTTTTTATCAATTATTTTAACTTCTGTCACATCGTTTCTCAAAATTTTTCTGTCCTCGGAACACATACGCTTTAAATTTGAAGGTAAAATTGATTGGTGGTTTCCAAACAGTTTGCCTAAGGTAAAATTAGAAATTGCTTTAGGCCGACGATATTGAAAGATTGACAATAACGCCATGCTGTCCGCCTGTTTAGATAGCCTGTTAGTCGCCAGTTGAGACACATAAATTTGCGACCCAGACTTCCAGAGTCGCCGAAGTACGGCCGAAATCGCCATGGCGGCCAATTTAGTCGCAAATTCGACCCCTATTCTGCAGAACACTCCGAATAAGCTCGCGAAACAGCAGTGTTCCACAGAACACAGATTGTGAAACGCTGGTCTGTTATGCTGATTATAGACTTGAAATAAACTTATGCTTATGAATTATGATGGTGGAAGAAGCTGTACTGACCAGCGTTTACGTGGACCAAAGCTTATATACAGGGTGTCTCAAAAGTAAGTATACACACTTAATTTTGATTTGCTTTTTAGGTACTCATCATAGAGCGTCCATTTCTTCAGGAAACAGTATGAATGAGAGATAAAGTTTAGATATTGTTTGCATTTTTCAACAGCCCACAGAATGACAACAGATTGACTCAAGAAATGAGGAGCAAACTTGGTGTTTGGCAAGAAGCATGTTTATCAGTAAGGCAAACCCATCGCTTCGTTAACAGAAAATTTGAAATTATTTCATCTTCGAATGTTTTCTCAGAGCGTCCGCTCTTTGGTCTTCCTGATCTTTGTGCAATAACCACAGATTCAGTTTCCATGAATTTTCGAAGAACTTTGTAATTCTTCGTCGTAAAAGTGCCGAATGCCTTACTGTTTTATATGCTTCTTGCCAAACAGTAATTTTCCACCTCATTTCTCGAGATAATCTCCTTGTCATTATGTGGGTTGTTGAATAATGCAAACAATGCCTAAATTTTACTACTCATTCGTACTATGTTTCCTGAAGAAATGAACGCTCTATGATGAGTACCCGAGAAGAAAATCAAAATTAAAAGTGTATACTGTACTTACTTGTGAGACTCCCTGTATATGTTATGAATCACGTTGCGGGGGCCAGGATACCTCTAACACATAAATATTTCTGATGGACTTCCAACTTGCTAGTTTGTCGATACCTACAAGGGGTGAAATGACAAACGTCATCAACACAAAGTAATGAATGATAATAAAAAACCAATAGTTCTGTCGTTTGGAGCAGGGGTTCTCAAACTTTTGGTATTATGGAGGTGACAGCACATTTGAACCCATACATTTGCACCGATATATCCGCGGGTTCAATCTATATGCGGGTGCTAAATTCCATGGGTTAGGGTTAGTATGGGTTCAAATATCCGTAGGTGCAAATTTCCATAGGGGCAATAGTATGTAGGAGCAATTGTCGTGGGTTCAAATGTAATGGAACCATTATGGAGCACGGGAAAAGGTTGCATATTGTTTACGCAGACCCACAATACATTTATAAATATAAAAAACACATTATTACTTATCGATTGATGTTCCTGAGTAAATTAAAATTTCTTTATTTATTACCTCGGATGGATTTTCTGCTACGTATTTAAAAAATATTCAAGTTTTTCTTGCTGCTGTGTTTAAATTTATTGCATCGTTGTTGATGTAGGAGAGATAATTGTGCAAAGACGGAGTAATCAAACGAACTCTATGTACCGGTATTTATATCACAGTTAAAGGGCCAAATTAACGCCAAAACTTAAGCAGTATAACACCTTGAAATTTTTATACATCCGCGCGTTCATCGCTTGGCCCAAGGCTAATTTAATTCGTAATTACAATTTGTATTCTATGATATATAGAACGTTGTGTGCGGATGACATTTCAACTCCATTCGGATTTTTTAACTATAAAGGATTTTTTTTTTTAATAATATAAAAAGTTATTTACCCGTGTATTTTATTCATAATAATAATATTATTTTAATACATAAGTCTTTCACCAATTCCATGGTTAAGACGAATCACTCAAGAGTAGAAGAAAATAGAGGTCCCACCGAGATTTGAACTCGGATCGCTGGATTCAAAGTCCAGAGTGCTAACCATTACACCATGGGGCCGACGACGCGGCGAAGTATTAACGAGAGATTTTGTTCATGGTATTTGCTAATCGTCAGGTAAATGGCGATTTTGCGCGCTTTATGGACGCATGTCTTGTCAAAATAAGTTTGATTTTTTGAAGTTGTGCAAATTTTAAGCCGTAAGTAGTGTTATCTCAAAAACAAGTTGAAAACTACGGCAATAAAGCCATCTCCGCCGGGACTCGAACCCGGAACCTCTGGATTAGAAGTCCAGCGCGCTATCCATTGCGCTACGGAGACGAGACGCTCGGGGAAGTCTAAACAGCGTACTTGAATCTCGATGACTTCCTTGAAGTAAACTTGATTCGGTCGAGTCTGTTCCATGTGCGAGTGGCTTACGTCGCTTAGCCAACACGTGCTATGAATAACAAAATAAAGCAATGTATATATATATATATATTAAATGAGCGAGGAGTCATGAGAGTGAATAAACACATTGCAAGATTACCAAGAATAAAAGTACAGACAAAACAAGAGAGGTATGCTCAAATATAAGGAGACGTTTGAAATAAATGAAAGCAATAGCCTTCTAAAGACAAAAATTATGTTTACCCACTGAAAATTTCAGAGCGATTGGTCCAGAAATCAAAGAGAAAAGCGACTTTTTAAAAACGTGTCAAAGAACAAGAACAAGAAGAGTGCCAGCATAAAATGCAAAACGATCGTTATGTCCACTGACGTGTCCAATAATTGTATTGAAGTACTGAAATTGATGCATCGGACAGAAAATGTGTTGGAGCAGTCACAATGACCAATCAGCAAAAAGGCAACAATGATATAACAATTGCAATTATTGCAGACGCTCAGAGTCATACTCATAGTCAAGTTTATTTTTTCCAACCAGTAAAATAATAAATGATGCAAAAAATAAGCAAAAATTAAAGAACATAATTTTACTGGGGAAGGGAAGCCGTGGGGAACCAAAGTTGGTTATCTAGCAGCGGCACCCAAGATTCAACTATTTAATTAACATATAATTTTAGTAGATCAATATAGCATAGAATAGTTTAGCCGTAAATATATACTAATACGGTTTTAACGAGAAATCGTCATGACACTAGGGTGTATCTGAGAGCCACGCAATACATCAGATAGTAATTTGGGGTATTCCCCGTTTCGTAGCTTACAGGCAGTGAATAAAAGCGTGTTATGGGGAAATATTCGGGAATTTGTAGTGGCTCAGTTATCACAACCAAATTATGATAATCATCAGTTGTAGTGGACGGACAACGGGAGACAATGAAGAAAGAACAGGTATAAATGACATAAATCTATTGAAGCAGATGTTTAACCTTCCGCACAGTACCGTACCGGTACTCGAATATGAAATACCGTACGGTACCGGTAACGTGATGAATAATATTCTATCGTCTGTACAGACGCACTGGACTGCACAATATAACAAAAAAGAAACAATGTGACTAGGTGTTGAAGTGTCATTTCAAGTGTGTAATAAAAAAAGTTACTTTCAACATGACAAATGCTGAGATTTGCAATATATCTGTATATATATAATACAAAGTTCATAGCTACTGAACTACAACAATGACTTGAGAACCCATATCTAGTTCAAGTTAAGGGGAGTGGGAATCAAATGAAACGAGTATATTTCGGTAAATCTGGCATGAGATTGGCATGTTGTAAAAAAAAAATAAATAAACACAAATAGCCTCAGACACTTCGTTCGACCAGACATTTCGTTCGCTCAGACAGATATTCAAGCGTGGCTGTAAACATTGCCTCGTCTTAGCGGTTTTACGTGTTTTTGCCAGTTTTTAAACATTAGTTTTATTTAAATGAAGTAATGTAATTGTTGTTATGTCTTCCGACGAGCTTTAGTTTAGTTGCAATAATCATAAATTAACTCGTCAAGCGAGGAGAAAATCTTCCGCTTGACAAAGCGCTGATCATTTTACGCCGGTATAATTACTACATTAGTTGAGTAATAATTACTGTAATTTAGCAAAGGAGAAAGTAGATACATAACACTGCAAAGTTCTGCAGTCGGAACTGCGGTAAGATCAGGGCCGTGTTGTGCCCTTCTTGAGGCTCCTAAGGCTAGGGTTACCATATTTTTGAGGCTTCAAATCGGGCCGCCTCGAAAGACAACGACCCCTTAGCTGTGATTTTATAACTTCCCATTTTCCGATTTTACTACATAGGCCTACATTCCTACATTTGAAGCTGTCTCGGCTGTCTTCATTGACCATATTGTTCTCAAAATTTCATGCGCATATTCTCTGTCAAAATATCGGGTTCAGTTCGAAAAATAGGAAGGAATTGACGTTAACGATACCGGTACAACTAATTCGAATTTAGACTAATTAGTATTGGTTTTACATGCGATACGTCCGCCATCAACGGGAATCAGCGGGAAACGAACGCATTCGCCTTCAGTAAGTAGGCTAGCGCTGCGCTACAAAGAAACAACAGTAACGAGAACAAGTTTGTTTATTATGCTGGAAAAGCGGGACTTTTGGCTGACTTATCGGGACGGCGGGACAAAACGCTAAAAAGCGGGACTGTCCCGCCTAAAGCAGGACTGTCCCGCCTAAAGCAGGA